GTCTTACAGACAAGCATCCACCCCATATTCAAATACATCTTAAGGCTGGCTGCACATGAAAGACTAGTTACAGCGGAGTGCAGGTGCCTCAGGATTGTGCTTTCTACAAAGCCACTACTGAAACACTGGAGAATCTATTCTTTGAATGCTCAGTAACAAGAAGAGTGTTGACCTGACTACTGGCGTGGTTAGGCATGAAAAGGAGCATAAATGGCTAGAAAGAGGAGCTTACCTAGGCATGTCGAATGGCTAGAAAGAAGATAAGGCAAGGTGCCATTGCTAGCTATGTATTTGCTATACTAGTATACATTATATGGAGGGAAAGGAACATGATTAGATTCCAGCAAGGCACTTTGAGGAGCACATAATCTGTAGGGAGATTGTCCTCCACGTGCACACTAGAGGCAAATGATATCCATCATGGCAGCAGACATTACACAACTTAGATAGATTTGCTTAATTCCTTTGTACGTAATGATCTGTACATCTTCTGTTTCAAGTTTTTTAAGAAATTCATAGATTTGTAGTAGGCATGGATGAAATGTGTAATCTAGGACTAGACTCATATTCTGGATAATAGTTGGTCAGCTACTACTTGGCTTTATACATATATATTTTTGATTAATACAATTTTGATTTTAAGCAAAACAAAATGACACATATGATACTGTCTAGGCCTTAATACTCACCCACAACCAATGGAACAATCTGCCTCCGCAAAAATCAAACCACTAAACCTCGAGAATAAAACATCTCCATACCTGAATAAGCCTTCCGTACCAAGTGGCACAAATCTGAACATCCAAGGTCACCAACCACACAATCTTAGTAGTACTAGTCAAGACTCCATAAATCAATTTACGATGTGTTTCCTACAACACACGCTCTTCTCAGGCGATACAAGATAGTGCTAGTATCCTCTTAAACATCTGAAATCCTCTATGCTATCTAGAACTCATGACATTCCTTTCAAAACTGAATCGCAACCTTGCCCATTTAATCTCAATCCCGCACGAGTCACTGCATCTATCATGTTTCAACATGAAAACAAGAGAATCCCATTATCAACTTTGAATCACAAGCAAGATACCCATTCCATCGACATAAAATATTCCATTTAACTCAGTTGAGGGGAAAACCCATAACATGCAACAAGCTCCTCATACCCATAGAATATAACAACCTCAAATCGTGGTCAAATCATCACAACTCTTTGGAATCCATTTGCACTTAACCAAGCCATCAGAAATGAATCTCTCTAAATCAACCAAGTTATGCAGGCTGCCCCTAAAGGTATTGCCACAAAATATCTGTAAAGCCCTATTATGCCAAAGGAACTGATCATCTCTATTGCCATACTGATCCAAACCACAGCTAAAAGGACCCAACTTTGTCAGATTACTCATGACCCACCCTCATGGAAGCACTTCTCTTTTCCCCAGTACATTATGGACCGCAAATCAAAGCTCATCCCAAGTGATCTCAATGCAAAATCTTATTGTTCTAAGACTCGTAAGCCACTTTATTCCCTCTTACACACACAATAGTACCTCAAACTGAAATACCTACTCTGAAGAGATCTTCTATGAGTCTGAAGTTGTTTCTTCCATCTCTCAAATGCTGCCTCGCAAAATCAATGTGGTTACAGGAATACCCAAGTCTCTTCCACAATTTGACATCAATCTCAACTCTTCAGCCACACAACAAATCTGAAAATCCTTAGGTACCACATCCTAAATCTTGAATCCATTACGACCACCTTTGAGAGTCACCCCCTCAGTGCTAGTCTTGAATAGATATCCAAACATGCCAATGATTAATGCTCTGTTAGTACATGAATACTCCTGAAGAAACAATCGAGCGAACCCTTTCCCTTACACACTATCTCCCCAAAGGACAATCTACCCTAAGTCATTCCACAACCTACATATAACAACAAGGTGAAATATAACACTCCAACAAATTCCATGTCCAAATTAATTGCTAAGTCATCGTAATCAAGCCATAACTAATCCATGATCACACCCTAACCTTAGGAGGTGCGACCGGCACACAACGCCCGAAGGCCCGTACGAACTGACGTCTGTTCCTACATCATTCTTATCTCAAAACCTAGGCCACCAAGGCCTCCAAGTACTAACGCCAGAATTAAAATATGAACAACTAATTGGCAAAAGAAAGTTTGATATTTCATGCATATACACAACTGTTACAGAGTGATAATTCCCCATTTTTACATACAACCATAGAGTCTACAAGCCTTTAAGAGGACCAAAATAGTTAAATATATACACACCTTGGTCAGGACAGGGCCCCACCATGCCCAAGACATTAAGACATGTGCTTTAGTACCTATTCACTTCGAACAGCTACTCCGAAAGAAGTACTACAATCACTCAGCTGGAACAACACCCTACTGGGAAGGGACGTCACTAGGTCTGTCTGTACATGTGGGCATGAACACATCACCCAAAAGAAAAGGGCATCACTACGGATAATGTACTGAGTATGTAAGGCTCAAAAAGCATGTAAATCAGAGTCATAACATAAGAGAAATACGTGTGTGATCTCAACTTAAATACCCAAGAAGAGCCACATGGGGCATAATCGGTTGGAACTATAAACCACGAATCATGAATGTACGCAAGCTTTTGTAAAACCGAGCCACTCATTAGGGTCATGCATTAAGTATAATACATATACGTATACATATCTTCAGCTACTATTTGGGACACTTTTTGTCACCCCATACTCGGCCTCATAGAGTACTTGATCGTACTCGGTCCCACAAGGGCTCGATAACCTCACATCACACAGCACTCCATACCTGGCCTCGTGGAGGACTCGATCGTACCCAACCCCAGGAGGTCTTGGCTATACCCGGTCTCAGCAGAACTCGGTGTAACCATCCTCAAGAGGACTCGATAATATCTCATATCATGTCTCATCAAACCCAACTGATCAGTGGTTGCACAGTAGGTGCCATACCCAGCGGCCTATAGTGCAACTCGATAATGTAAATTAGACACATATATATAAGTGTAATGCAATAGTAGTTTCAAGAGATAACTACTTTAAACTCAGAATGAATCATACTCCCCGACCATAGGATGCCAACTGAAAAGATTATAGACTTCGAAATAAATGCCACCGGCAAGTATGTACAAGAACATAACACCATCATTGAGAAGGACTCCGAACAACCAAATTCTTACAATACAGAAATCCTTTAAAGGGAGAGAGAGAGAGAGAGAGAGAGAGAGAGACTTACACCATCTCATGCTAAGAAAGAAAGTTGCCCTACATACCTTGTTGAAGAAATAGCTACACCTCTAGGACGGTTAACCCCTCCTCCAACGAATTTCTCCTGAATTGATATAGCAATATATTAAATATTACAGTGATGATTCCCAGTTCCTTCACGCTAGATATTTCTAGATTCAAATTCGTGTTCAACTTTACCTTAAATTGTTTGGAAAGTCTAAAAGGGTGTTGAGAGCACTTGGGAGAACTAACATTGGTGATATCTTCTAAAAATCAAAGAGAAAGAGTGTTTCACTGCCTTTTTATATCACACAAAATCTAGGAAACTCCGCCGCTATTACTTGCAAAACAGGTCGCCCTACCTTGGTCACTGCACCCGTTGATAGCTGGCGCAAGTCTAATGAAATGTGTTGCCCCTCAAACATGTTGCCGATTGATTGGCTGCGCTAGAAGCCACACTTATCAAGCTATATTGAGGTGTGGGGTGTAACATTATTCCCCCTTCAGAACATTCATCCTTGAATGTTGAATTGCAATCATTCCTTGCAAAACTTGTTTGGTCTTCTAGAGTTGTGTCCACAATGGTGGCTTCACTATTGCCTCCCGTATCACGAAACAAGTGGGGGTATTTGACCCTCTTATCTTCTTTAGCTTCCCATGTCATTGCTTCTATGTTGTTGTTCCTCCAAAGTACTTTAATGGAAGCTATGTCTTTGGTTTGTAGATTACGGATTTGACGATCCAAGATGGCCACTGAAATTTCTTTACAAGATAAATCCTCCATGACTTGAATGGGGGTAATGAGGGATGGATCGCCTAAACACTTTCGAAGCATAGACACGTTGAATACCGGATGCACTACCTCCATTTATGGGGGGCAATCGGAGCTTATAATCCACTTGATTGACTTTCTGAATAATTTGGTATGGTCCAATATGCCGGGCCTGAGTTTGCCTTTCTTACTAAACCTCATCACGCCTTTCATAGGTGACACCTTCAAGAATACCCAGTCTCCCACAACGACCTCCAAATCTCGATGTCGGTTATCCGAGTAAGATGTCTCCCTCCTATGGGCGGTCAATTATTGATTTTGAATTATTTTCACATTTTCTACAGCTTGTTGCACCACCTCGGGACTTAATAACTTTGTTTCACCAACTTCAAACCAGCTGATAGGAGATCTGCACTTCTGTCCGTATAGGGCCTCATATGGCGCCATCTAAATGCTAGCATAATAGCTATTAATGTAACTAGAAATTCAATGAGGGGTAGATGATCCTCCCAATTTCCCTTGAAGTAAAACACAAGCTAGTAGCATATCTTCGAGAGTTTGAATAGTACATTCGGCATGGCAGTCTGTTTAAGGATAAAAAGTTGTTCGTGTACCTAACCCTTTTTGAAATGACCTCCAAAAGTTAGCCATAAATTGGGCACCTCTGTCCAGTATGATAGAAATCGGAACCCCATGAAGTCGAACGATTTCCTTAATATATAACTTAACATAATCTTCAGCTGAGAAATTAGTTTTGATTGGCAGAAAGTGAGCTGACTTGGTGAGTCTATCCACGATAACCCATATGGGATTAAACCTCCGGCGTGATCATGGTAAGTCGGTAACAAAATCCATCTTGATCCCTTCCCATTTCCAAGTTAGAATTTCGATATTTACTAGTAATCCTCCCGGTTTCTAATGTTCAACCTTAACTTGTTGGCAATTGGGACACTGAGCGATGTATTTAGCAATATCCCTCTTCATGTCGTACCACCAGTATAGTTGCCAAAGATTGTGATACATCTTGGTTAACCCCCGAATGAACAGAATATAGGGACCGATGAATCTCTGCCATGATATGCTCTTGGAGTTCCCCGACATCGGGTACACACAATTGGCCCTTATATCTGAGGACTCCATCCTCGGATAACCTGAACACTTGCTTCTTTTGAGAAGGAATACTTTCTCTTATTTTCACCAAAGTTTGATCTTCGAATTGTCGTTCCTTTAATTCGGTTACTAATAAGGACTCAACAGTGTTTCGAACTACGACTCCTCCGTTACCGGTGTCGAGCAATAGCACACTTAAACTAGCCAACCAGTGCAAGTATTTAATCATCTCCAGCTTATGCTTTTTCACATGCCGTATACTAACCATCGATTTCCAATTTAATTTATCAGCCACAACGTTTGCCTTACCGCAATGATATAAGATATCCACATCGTAGTCCTTTAGTAGTTCGAGCCATCTCCATTGCCTTAAATTCAATTCTTTTTGCTTGAATATGTGTTGTAAGCTCTTATGGTCGGTGAATATATCGGCATGAACTCCATTCAAATAGTAAAGCGATATTTTCAAAGCAAATACAACAACTGCTAGCTTCAAGTCTTGAGTGGGGTAATTCTGCTCGTGTTTCCTTAGTTTCCTCGAAGCATACACAATGACTTTCTCGTGTTGCATTAAAACATTGCCCAATCCCACTCTAGAGGCATCACAATATATAACGTAACCCACAAGTCCTCCAGGAAGGGTTAAAACTGATGTCGAGGTTAACCAGCCCTTTAACTCTTGGAAGCTCTTCTTACAAACATCGGTCCACCAGAATTTCACTGCCTTATAAGTCAACTCCATTAATGGAGCAGCTATAGATAAGAATTTTCCACAAATATTTTATAGTAACCGGCTAAACCCAAGAAGTTGCGTACTTTGGTAGGAGTTGTGGGCCTTGGCTAGTTCTTAATTGCTTCAACCTTTTGTCCATCAACCTTGATACCTTCAACCGATACTATATGACCAAGAAAAGCCACCGAGTTTAGCTAGAATTCGTACTTGGAAAACTTGGAGTACAACCTGTGATCCCGGAGTATCCGTAGGACCATTCGCAAATGCTCCGCGTGCTCTGCCTCCAATTGAGAGTACACAAAAATATTGTTAATGAACAGGATCACAAAGATATCCAAAAATGGCTTGAAGTCTCGATTCATTAGATCCATGAAGGCTGCTGGTGCATTGGTTAGGCAAAAGGACATAACGAGAAATTCGTAATGGCCATATCTGGTCCGAAATTCAGAACATCTTCTTCCATGATTCTTAACTGGTGATATCCAGATATGAGATCAATCTTTGAAAAACACTTGTCACCTTACAATTGATTTAATAAATCGTCAGGAGCTGATACCTGCTCTTAATGATGACCTTATTCAACTGTCAATAATCGATGCACATCCTTAATGAACCATATTTCTTTCGAACAAATAGCATTGGAGCTCCTCATGAGGAAGTACTAGGTCGAATGAAGCCCTTATAAAGAAGGTCCTTCAATTGATCTTTTAGTTCCTTTAACACGACGGGAGCCATTCTGTACGGAGGAATTGATATCGATTATGTATCATGTGGCACGTCGATGACAAACTCAATCTCCCTCTCGAGTGGAATACCTGGAAGCTCATTAGGGAACACATTGGGAAATTCACTAACGACCGGAACCGACTGAAGGGCTAGAGGCTTCGCCTCTGCATCCTACACCTGTACCACCACCACTAACAACAACAACAAACCCAGTATGATCCCAACAGGTGAGGTCTGGGGAAGGTAGTCTGTACGCAGACCTTACCCCTACCTAATGCAGGTAGAGAGGTTGTTTCCAATAGACCCTCGGCTCAGGAAGGGTAAGAAGAAGAATAGGAAAGCAAGGAATGCAGAAAGAAGGAAGAGAAAAGAAAAAAAGAGAGATAAAGGATAAGTAGTACTAAATAATAGCAACAGGGGATACAATACCTGAGGCGAACAAAACCACATAACGTAATAAAAATCTAAGAATATGAAGGGACATGCATGCTACAATGACTATCGGTGAACAACTAAAAACTACCCACTAACCTTCTACCTTAATACTCGACCTCTACACCTTCCTATCAAGGGTCATGTCCTCAGTGAGCTGAAGCAGCGCCAATCTCCTCTCCCCAGTACTTCTTAGGCCTACCTTGACCTCTTCTCAAACTCTCCATGGCTAACCTCTCACACCTCCTGACAGGAGAATCAATGCTTCTTCTCTTAACATGTCTGAACCATCTCAGCCTCGACTCCCGCATCTTGTCTTCCACGGAGGCTACTCCCACTCTATCCCGGATAGCTTCATTCTTAATACTATCTCTCCTAGTACACCTACACATCCATCACAACATCCTCATCTCTGCTACTTTCATCTTCTGCACGTGGGAGTTCTTGACTGGCCAACACTCAGCCCCATACAGCATAGCCGGTCGAACCACCACTCGATAAAACTTACCCTTAAGTCTTGGCGGCTCATTCTTATCATATAAAACACCAGAAGCGAGCCTCAACTTCATCTATCCCACTCCGATGCAATGTGCTACATATTCGTCAATCTCCCCGTTACCCTGGATAATAGACCCGAGATACTTAAAACTCGCTCTCTTGGGGATAACTTGAGCATCAAGATTAACCTCTACGTCTGCATTATGGGTCCCGTCTCTGAATTTGCACTCCAAGTATTCTGTCTTGGTTCTACTCAGTTTGAAACCTTTAGACTCCAAGGTCTGTCTCCAAACCTCCAACCTCACGTTAACTCCACTACGCATCTCGTCAATCAACACTATATCATCGGCAAATAGCATGCACCAAGGCACCTCCCCTTGGATGTGTCGCGACAGTATATCCATCGCCAAGGCAAATAAAAATGGGCTAAGAGCCGATCTCTGGTGCAACCCCATCACCACAGGGAAATGCTCCGAGTCACCACCAACAGTCCTCACCCGAGTCTTAGCCTCATCATACATATCCTTAATCACCCTAATGTACGCTACCAAAACACCGCTAACCTCGAAACACCTCCACAGGACCTCTCTCGGGACTTTATCGTAGGCTTTCTCAAGGTCAATAAACACCATATGCAAATCCTTCTTCCTCTCCATGTACTGCTCCACTAATCTCCTTACCAGATGAATCTCTTTCGTAGTCGAACGCCCCGGCATGAATCCAAATTGATTCTAAAAAATAGACACGCACCTCCTCACCCTGGCCTCCACCACCCTCTCCTAAACCTTCATAGTGTGACTCAACAACTTGATACCCCTATAATTGTTGTAATTTTGGATATCACCCTTGTTATTGTAAAGTGGAACCATCGTACTCCACCTCCATTATTTAGGCATCTTCTTCATCTTAAAAATAACATTAAACAGCCCAGTGAGCCACTCCAAACTTGCTCGCCCCGCGCTCTTTCAGAATTCCACTGGGATTTCGTTTGGCCCCGTAGCTCTGCCCGTGCAAATCTTACGCATCGCTCCTTCCACCTCCTCTACCGTAATCTGCCTACATTACCCAAAATCCCACTGACTCTCGGAGTGCTCCAACTCACCCAGCACAATGCTTCTATCCCCTTCCTCGTTCAATAGTTTATGGAAGTATGTATGCCATCTTCTCCTAATAAGTGCCTCGTCCATCAACACGTTGCCATCCTCGTCCTTGATGCACTTGACTTGGTCTAAGTGGCGGGCTTTCCTCTCCTCACCTTGGCCAACCGGTACAACTTCTTATCCCCGCCTTCGCCCCCGAGCTCCTTGTACAAACGAGCAAACGCCGCGTTCTTAGCCATCGTAACTGCTAACTTCGCCTCTTTCTTTGTGTTATTAGCTTTCTTAGCTTCCACTTTACCTTGAACATCTCTATTTCACCACCAGTCCCCTTTATGCCCCCCAAGAGAGCCCTTCGTGACCCCTACGACCTCTCTAGCAGCTACCCTAATGCAATTCGCAGTTGTAAACCACATACTAGACGCGTCCCCCTACTCATCCAGCCCCTCATAGCCAACAACTTCTCCCCTAACTCCTGAGCTTTGTCCTTGGTCAAGTTACCCCACTTGATCTTAGGTTGCCTTCACCCCGCCCTCTTCCTCCTAATCCTCTTGATCTCCAGGTCCATAACTAGGAGCATATATAGGGTCGTGAGGTACTCATTTGGGATGACCTTGCAGTCAGTGCATAGACCTTTATCGCATTTCGTGCAGAGAAGATAATCAATCTGAGTCTTGCCCATTGAATTCCGAAAAGTGACCAGGTGCTCTTCCCTCTTCGGAAAACTCAAGTTAGCTATAACCAAATCAAAAGCTCTAGCAAAATCCAATAGTGAATTACCTCACTCATTCCTATCCCCAAAACCGAACCCACCATGCACATCATCATAACCCCTAGCACTAGCCCCAATATGACCATTAAAATCTCCGCCAATGAACAACTTCTCTGTGTGCGGGATACTACGCACCATCTCGTCCAAATCCTCCCAGAATTGCTTCTTGACCTCCTGGTCCAAACCTACCTGAGGAGCATATGCACTAATCACATTTACAGTAACCCACCAACTACCAGCTTAATACTCATCAACCTATCATTTACCCTCCTAACCTCGACCACGAGCTCCCTGAGGTCCCTGTCAACTAAAATACCTACCCCATTCTTACCCCCAGCGCTTCCTGAGTACCATAGTTTAAACCCGTCTATATCTCGTGCCCTAGTACCCTTCCATCTAGTCTCCTAAACACACACTATGTTGATCTTCCTCTTCTAAATAATCTTACCTAACTTTATAGACTTCCCCTTCAACGTCCCAGTGCTCCAAGACCCAAATCTCAGTCTAGAGGCTTTCTTACCCCCCTTCCCACCCCTGGACCCCAACCTCAACCCCACCCAAGGACAACAATGACAACAACTACAAAGAAATTAAACAGCATAAAAATCGGGTATCCTCCCGTGCCAGAGAGCAAGTCTGNAAAAGGTATTAGGTAAACACTACCACTAAGAACAAGTAGCGGGAACGAAGGACTACAAGATACGAACCCGAGAGCTAAAAACAACTCAAAGGAGCTACTACGAGAACAGTAACACGAGCAGGCACTAGAACAATGAATCTACCACGTCTAAGAAACTACCCCTATGCAATTATAGAACTAAAATGGATAGATAAAACCTTAATCTTAAAACACTTGTAGAAAATATAGAAAAAGCAATCAATCCAATTAAAATTGTCGGTAAGGCAACAGTAAATAGATGTGTGCAAATACAATTCAAGAAAGATGGAACCTGGACCACAGTCAGGGATGTCCGGATATGCTTCCAAATCCGCTGAATGTTGCTGCCTCCCGAACCCGTGTGTAGGAAAGTTTCTGCGATTTGTCAATTTCACCAGAAATTCAATTTCACTGGAAAGGTATAAAACAAGAAAAAGTGGCGGAAGAGTAGCCGCCGCCGTAGTTAAAGAAAGGAATTGAGAAGTTCGTTCGCCAAAATATAGCAATCGCAGTGGCAGTCGAAAAATCTCAATTCGATAATCATAACTTGACACAAGAACTTTTACAACTGGCTAAATAAAATCTCAGCTTCGGCAGAATTGAGAAGTTCGTTCGCCGGAATCTCACTCCCAGTCTGTAAAACACCCAATCAAAATCTGGACTTAAGTAAGAGATCCCTTCAAATCCCCAGAATCCTTCAAATGAGGAATTAACCAAAAAGAAGAAACCAAACCCTTTTCTCGGCAAGAAGGGTATCACAAAACAGAGTACTAATTTCACTGCAAATAACTAAAACATAAATACAAAGAAAAACAATGAAAGAAATATTTCTTAAATTGTTATCACCCTAAATTAATAGAAAACTCCATCGTAATAATCCGACGGAGGGTTCTTTATTTTTCTGGCCAAATGCAATTCAAATGTGAAAACCAAGCCAACCATCCTGTGAGGATAGGATGAGGGATTAAAGAGGAGGAACATGGAAGACAGTCACCGTAAAATGAATAAAAGGTGGAGGACGGCGGCCGGGCGGCGTAAGAAAGAGTGAGTGAGACAGCATCCTACACCTGTACCAAATGATAGAAACATCCTTTCATGATTCTTTCAAGCCTTAAGGTAATAAATAAACTTCCCTTTTGGTGCTTCGACATCGCCCTTCTATTCGATAATGGGCTCTCCCAAAATATTAAAGAGAACAACCTTCTTCTAGCAATCTACTACAGCATAGCAAGAGGCCAACCAAACCATTCTCATAATAATATCAAATTCTATCATTTCTAATTCATTCAAATCAACCAGGGTATCGTGATCATGAATAATCACATCACAACCTCGATACACCCGTCTAACTACCGCGGACTCACCTACCGGTGTTGACACTTCAAACGGTTGTTGTAAAAACTCATGTACTTTACCTCATTTACTAGCAACAAATGGGAAATATATGATAAGGTGGAACCTGGATCTACCAAAGGATACATATTATCGGAGAATATGGATAGATACCTATGACCATGTCCGATGATGAGTTTAGGTTCTTTTGGCCTAACAATGCATAAATGCGATTCTGTTGTCCGCCTGAGCTAGTCACTCCAGCTCTACCTCTGCCTCTTCCTATCGGCAGTTGCTAACCTTGCTCACGAGGATGTGTTGTCGATGGCGAAGCTTCTACTGATCCCATTGGTGGTATCACACGGCCCATATTTTTCACTAGACAAAAGTGCATGATATGACCGGGCTGCTCACAATAATAACAGAAGTCTGAGCCCTAGTGGCAGTGCCCAAAATGATTCCTACTACATGGGCCACAATGCGGCACCGAGGGATTCATTTTACTAGGGCATCCACTATATTTTGAGCTTTGTCATCGAGAATTTTGACCCTGACCCGGGTAGGTGGTCCGATCATATCGCTGACCCTAGAAATGTGACATCGCACTAGACACCGAATGAAATGAATGCTAAGGAAATGAACGTCTTAACGCACCTCGTGAATCCCCCGTATCACCCGTAGATCGAGCTCTCTTATGTTGGCCTTGATCGTGCTCTCGAGCAGCTCATTGTTGCCTCTTATGATGCTCCAAGTTCAACGCATAGGCTTTAATACGAGCAATATCCATGTTCGGACTCAAAGAAGTAGTAGTACATTCATTAATCAAATGTTGTCCCAAACCTCCCACAAATCAATGTACTCGGTCATTCATCTCCGCCAAAACTGATAGAGCGTACCTAGCCAAGGATTTGAATTGCATGCTATACTCTCGGACACTCATATTACCTTGCTCCAACCATAAGAATCTATCTTCTCTTGCTCGGCAGAGCTCAATAGGCAAATACTACTGCAAGAACGCCTCACAAAATTCCTTCCATCTTGCTACTGGGGCAAGAGATCCCCTAGACGTTTTCCAAGTCTCATACCAAGTCACAGTTATATCTCGCAATCTGTAAGAGGAAAGCTCCACAGACTCAGTATCAGTGACATGCATAACTTGTAACGTCCGGTGCATCTGATCTAGAAAATTCTGGGGATCTTTGTTGGGATCTGTTCTTGTGAATACTGGGGGGTCCAAATTTATTAAATCCCTAACTCTCGTACTGACTTCTCTATTTGCGGTGGCAGGGACCTATCGTTGGTCCTGGGAGGCCACTAATCGAGTCAACAACTGTATTGAACTTCTCATGTCTAAATCCTGCTCGGGAACAACCGGGGGTGGAACATGAGGTACAATAGTTTCTCTATGTTATTCCGGGGGTGGTGATGTTGTCCCAAAAACTTGAGTACCAGCCTCATCGTGAGGCCCATGTTGACCCATGGGGGCGGGTAGAACCTAACTGGTACCTTCTCCTGCTTCATCATTCAACCCTTTAACAAGTGCCTGATGTCTCGTGGTAGGCATCGCTATAAACATAAATGAGATGGGGATCATAAGACTACATATAACTCAGCTCTATCGTACGATCTAGATCAGAAAGAATGGTATTCATCCTAAATATCATGTACCTTCCTGTTTATAAGTATGGTGCATAACATACCCATAAACAAGATTCTACTAGATACGGCTTGCATACTTCCTAGAATATGACCTGCTCTGATACCAAGTTTGTCACACCCCAACCTTGGGAGGTGCGACCGACACACGATGCCCGAAGGCCCGTGCGAACCGACGTCGGTTCCTACATCATTCTTATCATATAACCTAAGCCACCGAGGCCTAGTATTAACACCAGAATTAAAATATGAACAACTAATTGGCAAAAAAAAGTTTGACATTTCATGTATATACGCAACTGTAATAGAGTCGTAATTCCCCCATTTTACATACAATCATCTCTAGTCTACAAGCCTCTAAGAGGACCAAAAGAGTTAAATATATACACAACTTGGTCGGGACAGGGCCGCACCATACCCAAGACGTTAAGACACGTGCTTCAGTATCTATTGATTTCGAACATATACATCTGAAGGAATGGAGTACTATGACCGCTCAACTAGAAAAACACCCTACTAGGGAGGGACGTCACCGAGTCTGTCTGTACCTGTGGGCATGACCACAATGCCCAAAAGAAAAGGGTGTCAGTACGATAATGTACTGAGTATGAAGGCTAAGAAAGCATGTAAATAAGAGTCATAACATAAGAGAAATAAGTGTGTGATCTCAACTTGAACACCCAAGACAAGCCACAAGGGGCATAATATGTGGGAACTATGAACCATGAATCATGAATGTATGAAACTTTTTGTAAAATCGAGCCACTCATTGGGGCCATGCATTAAGTATAATACATATAAGTATACATATCTTCAGCCACTTT